TGCTCGGATCCCATTTGCTCTGAAATTAAGTTAGGGATTTGCTATTATATTGAAAGTTTGTTACGAGGCCGTAATTACTTTATTGGGCCGAGCCCATTATCTTAAACCCTCGGGTACGGTCTTCTCAATCTTCTCCGACCACCCGATCGATCAAATTTTCCTCGGCGGGACACTGTAACCTTCTCTCACCTCGCCGGAGATTCGCCAGTAACAAATTGATGTGGCTGAGCCGGTCGGTTCCCGTCAGATATCTGGGATCTTACCAAAGACTTCAAAAACCGCCATGGATGAAGTATCCTGTGGTATTCTTCTCAGATTTTTCGGAGAAGAAAGGGAAAGTTGCTCCTTTGCAGGTTGATTCATCATCATCTCTCCGCAAACAAAAAAAACCTCTATTTTGCTTTCTTCCTTACTTAAAATTTATGATTTCTGTGTTGTGCAGGAGACTAGAATGAGAGATAGGTTTACTCTGTACGCACGCGGCGGCGAAGGTGGAAGTGGTTGTTCCAGTGTTCGCCGGAGCCGTACCGATCGCTACGGAAAACCTGATGGTACTATTCAGAATTGAGAATCATAGAACAAATGTTATTGTAAATGATTATAGATTGAATCATTTCCCAAACCCAAGTACTTAAATCCAGAGTCATTGGTTTAGATTCTCTCTTTGTGTATCTGAAATGTTATTGTAAATGATTATAGATTGAATCATAGAACCGGAATACTCTCTTTGTGTATCTGAAAGAAGAATGTTATGTTTATGCAATTGTACTTAGTTCAGGTGGAAATGGTGGGAGAGGAGGTGATGTGATATTGGAATGCACACACGCAGTTTGGGATTTCAGTGGATTACAACCTCATGTTGTAAGTTTACTCTTCTTTTTCTTGGTTTTACGGGGAAGATGCAAGTCGTCGTTACTGATTATATATCTATTTGTATGAGTTTTAAAGAGAGGTGGGAAAGCTGGACATGGAACTTCCAAGAACAGGATAGGAAACAGAGGAGATGACAAGGTTTTTATATGATTTCACATCATCAGTGTTCCTCTGCTTCTTTCTCTTTTTTTTTGCCGGGGACTAAAGCTTCGTTCCGCTTACTAAGATTATCCATTTGTGTTACCACAGGTCCTGCTAGTGCCTATTGGGACAGTGATTCATCTTCAGGAAGGTGAGATTCCATCTCAGGTTGAAAATGATTCTCCCGTAGATTTAGATCCATGGGACCTTCCTGGTACATTAGTTGAGGATCCTGCATCCGAGGAGAGCCTTGATGTTCAAGATGAAACTATGCTAGAAGATGTTCAAGAAGAAACTATGCTAGAACCTGTTGAAGTTGCAGCTGAGGAAGAAAGTGTAGGAAGACATGTAGGCACATTAAAGGAAGGTAATTTCAATTTCGAAGACGACGAAGGAGAGATTGATGAAGTCAGGTATAATGTTGCGGAACTAACACAACAAAGTCAGAGAATAATCATTGCTCGTGGTGGTGAAGGCGGTTTGGGTAGCGTTTGCGCTACACGTTATGTAAGAGGCACCAAGTTTGCTAAAACCACCGCGATCCGTAAAAGCAATT